CCGCTGCCGGTAAGTTTATAGTTTTTGACTTTTTCGGCCAATCGAGGCCCTTTAACATATTTTCTCGCATAGATGAGTATAAAATCGATCAAAATCGGCCAAAACTGACCAAAAGCGGTCAGTCCGAGGCAAACCGCCGCCAGGGGCGGCAGTGCCATCGCCGGAGCACAATGGTGGTGCCGTGCTGGAATTTTAAAATTGACCAGAAAAGGTCTTTAACACTGATTTTTAGATTTTTAGAGTATTTCTAGGTACTTAAAATGTGTTTCAATCTTCACAGAAAAATTTAGGAAACCTGGGGACCGCTAGTAGACACAGCTAAAAATTTAGTGTTTCGGACATTGATTCAGGTAAGAATCTCTTACCTTATTGAAGTTTAATTATAAATAATAAGGCATTTTGTGTAATTTAAAAAATCTTGATAATTAATTACAAGTTACTAATGGAGACAGAATCGGTTACTTATCACTGTTTATCATGTTTTAACTAATTGATTGATTTTACAATTTTAAATGCATGATAATACACTGGAGTTAGTAAGATGATTTTGAACACCTCCATGGCCAAATCGGAGCAAAAGGACTGACAGATAAGTCGAAAACTGTGGGTAAAGCCCGGCGCGGGCATCGCAGGAAAAACTAAAAATCACCTCCGATGAGGCCCTTCTCGATTCCCATTTCATGTGATTGTTTCACCATTGTATTCATCATTCTATTTTGTATAGGTTGATCAAAGAAAAATACACAACTGCAAAGATGAGCCAGCGGAGTCACCGCACTAAAAAATTTGACCACTGCACCGAAAAACTCTGCCACTGGTAAGTTTATATTTTTCGACTTTTTTGGCCAAATGAGGTTCTTTAATGTGTTTTCTTGCAGCGATGAGTATAAAACCAGCTGAAATCGGCTAAAACTGGCCGAAAGCGATCAATCCGAGGCAAACTACCGTTGTGGGCGGCGGTGCCATTGCTGGAGCACGACGGTGCTGCCGTGCCGAAATTTTGAAATTGATCGAAAAAAGTCTTTAATTATGTTTTAACTGATTGATTGATTTTACAATTTTAAATGCATGATAATACGCTGGAGTTGGTAAGATGATTTTGAACACCCCTATGGCCAAATCAAAGCAAAAAGATTGGTGGATGAGCTGAAAATTGTGGGTAAAGCTCGGTGCCGCCGCTGCAGGAAAAATAAAAAATTGCCTTCGATAAGGTCCTTCCTAATTCCCGTTTTGTGTGTTTTTTTCACCATTGTATTCACCATTCTGTTTTATATAGGTTGACCAAAGAGAAACACCAACTGCGAAGGTGAGCTAGTGGAGCCGCCGCACCGAAAAACTCCACCGCTGGTAAGTTTACAGTTTTCAACTTTTTCGACCAAACAAGGCCTTTAATGTATTTTCTCACAGGGATTAGTATAAAATCGGTCGAAATCAGCCAAAACTTGTCAAAAATAGTCAGTCCGAGTCAAACCGCCGCTGCAGGTAGCGGTGCTGCCGTGCCAAAATTTAGAAATTGGCCGAAAAAGATCTTTAACACTGATTTTTGGAGTATTTTTAGGTATTTAAAACGTGTTTCAATCTTCGCAGGAAAAGTTAGAAAACTCGGGGACCGTTAGTAGGCACAGCTGAAAGTTTAGTGTTTCAGACACCGATTCATGTAAAAATCTCTCACCTTATTCTCTGTTATGGAATTGAAGTTTAATTATAAATAATACGACATTTTGTGTAATTTAGAAAATTTTGATAATTAATACAGGTTACTAATGGAGACAGAACCAGTTACTTATCATTGTTTATCCTGTTTTAGTTGATTGATTGATTTTACAATTTTAAATGCATGATAATATGCTGGAGTTGGTAAGATGATTCAGTTGTGTTTCCTTGATGCATGTATTGCTTATTTTGCATGATTTATAGTTAAATTATAAAACTGAAAATTAAATGTAAATAGAGAATTGCTTGATTAAGTGAATGAATGAATGGTAGCCTTACTGGATATCCTGAGAGATGGTGGACAGACCGGGTGTATAGAAAATCCAACCGTGAACATTCTCTTATACCGGACGGGGTATTAAGAATTTGTATTTTGGCGCTCATACTGGATGAGGTATGAGAACGACTAGTTAGTTAACAATATTGAATAAGGATTCACGCATAGTGGGGACATTCCTATAAATCTCTATAAATACCAGTAGATAGATAAAAATGAAAAGTTGTTCTGCTTAATTGAATATGATATTATGATATTATTTGTGTTATTGCCCCTATAGGTCAGTTTTGAAAATCTCGCCACGGTAAGTATACAATAAATGATTTTATTTATGATAAATGAATTTACTTAAATTAAGAGCTCCATTAGTTGTTTTTATGATTTTTACCAACATTCATTTCTGTATCAATGAGTAGTGTGACATTCTTACTGGATTAGTGTAGATCACTATTTCATTAACCATTTTATATCAAGAGGACCAAGATCCAGATCTCGATCCACAAGATGGTTGCGAATAAGATGTCCAATTGTTTACTTTTTATTTATTTCTTTGATTTTTCGTTGTTCTTTTAGAAATGTCATTCTTGTAACCCTATTGAGTATTCTAAATTATTGTGTAAGAAATATAAACTCTACATTTATTATTTCTCTTCCGCATTCAATTTATAATTTATTTCTTTTAAAATTTTGGACTGTTACAATTGAGTCATGTGAACAAGAGATAGTCATGTGAGAGACACAAAATTGAGCCAGAGACACCAGGCTGATGTCGTTTGGGAGTAGGATTAGTTTGGCAGAAAGGTAGGATATGACTGAATGAGTGTGGGTGGGGAGCTGGAGCTGAATGCACATAAGGTAGGTTAGGACAAAGTCATAGAAATTGAGGAAAAGAGTGAGGTAGTGTGGTAGGAGGGAAGGGATGAGAGTGCGATGATCTCAGTTAGTGTGTGCGTGGCCTTCATAGGTCAGTTTGGATAATTGTATGACATGCGTGTGTATG